ATTGTTCTCCACGCACAAAATTGTACCTCTATCCATGAGATCTCATGTCAACACCAAATAGTTCGAAAAGAAACAAATGATTGACATAAACTTAGTTATAGTTGGAGATATCGGTGAACTCATGTCGATTACAGCATCAATCATCATTTTTGACAGATTACACATTGTTTTTCAGTATTCGTTCACAACTACGGGAGATTAAAACTCATGATATTCCTTGTGATACCCTGTACACAATCCAATACGATTGATTTCCAAACTGAGTATGAATGTGAAGTAAATCAGCGCTTTTCTCTATACACATCGCATATATATAAATCAGAAGCATATGAGCGAGTAGAAATGTCGTATCGGGGAAAAATCCCAAAATTTTGCAAAACGGAGGAAAGAACCCCAATCAAACAACGAAAATCGCGCAATACGCTTTGCGCGCATCGATTTTTGCGACACCAATAAGGTGAAATTCCTTAATCACTTGTTAGATCAAAGAGCAGTCAAGGCGACGTCACCCACGAATGAGTGCCAAGTGCTAAATTCGTTGTTGTCCTTGTAGATGATCTGATGCGAGGGATAATGTAGAAATTGGTCTCGATCGAATGCACAATATTTGGGGATTTTTAGGAGACAAAAATGAATATTAGCACAAACAAGGCATGGCACACAACCAGTTCACTCTTGATTACGCTGCTATTCACAATCTCGACCGTGTATGGATGTGCAGTGATGCCTGCATGTCAAAGTAATGAGTAGGAATTGTTATGTAGCTACGATATTCATATGCTTAGATGGCTAATAACTTTAATCATAATGAGCATACCTAGTATTTCGTCACTGCTCAATAGTTGTGGTAGTCCGCGCTACCTAATGGCACGATTCTCAATTCTATATAAGAAGAAAGATAATACAAGAAGTTTTTCCAATCCAGTGGCTTTTAAAATTTAGTTAACACGAGGGATTTATAAATGAGCTTTATTGGGCTAACATTTTGACGTTTTCGCCTTCTTTGAGCCCATGATTAGATTCGAATGTCCACTGTCGTTCGCTCTCGTTTTAGTCTTCGTCTTCGTTGTCGTACAAGTGCAATTTTCTTAGTGGAGCATCGCTCGAATAAGATTTATACTTAATTATGTTATCGTTCACAAAATGACTGCTATACAAGTGGCCAGCAATAGTTATAGGTTGATAGTGGTTTAAATGACAACATGTCAAAACTTGACAAAGTGAAATGTAATTTGAGCCTTTTCAAAGCCAATGGCATGCGGTTGTCATCAGTTATATAGGTATTCATCTTCAATCTGCTCTTTGGAAATGCCACTTGAGAGCATCGATATATTCTGAAAGATTGCCAAATGTACGTAAGCCAACGACATGCTAACCTTGAAAAGGCTTGAAACAGTTCTTAGATTCTTGATTTTCTTCTTTGAGCAGAACACGAGATGTTACATTAAACTTTATTCGATAGCTGACGTTTCGGCAGTTCGCCTTCTTCAGAGCCTGGAAAGGTCAAAATGTTTGCAATACAATCAGTCAAACACCTCCATTACTTCTTTAGAGAAAACTCACCAGACCTAGATTTCAATCGCATCAAGCAAAAATCAACACTTAACATACTCACCGCTTTTTATATGTGTTCCACTGGATGATCCAAGTGGAGATCACCGGCAAGAGAGACACATAGGCTCGTAATGCACCCTACCCATCAAAACAACAGTCTTATATACTGGCTCATATCACGAGTGTTTACAAGGCATTCCTCCCTGCGGTTTATGGTTGGATTGGTCGTATTAATCCAAAATGCTTCCAAGATCTTTCGCGCTGATGTTTTTTGCTCCTGCGCAAGGATGGTGACTTCGATTTCAAAATCAACTCCGTCGTGCTTCTGTGCCCTATGCGTCCCTAGCGGGGTGTTTTGTCTATTAAGACGCTTGTCAGCTAGGTGTTCTTCTATGCGTGCATAGAGCGGCCTACCCGTTTCGCCTACATATTTATCACTACACGCTTTGCAAGAGATTAGGTAGACTGTACCTACGCTCATGCAATCACCGTCTCTGCCGTTAGGACATATTTTACAATCATTCATCATACAGAGACGGTCATATAAGCGGTTGCGAACTAGTTGGCGTTTTAGAGTATTCGGTGGTATTTCAATAATGGCCACCGATTGCTCTAAGCCCGCTCTTTTCAAACATCGTTTTATAGCTGTACTAACCTCATTTGAATAGAACGGAATGATAAACGGGACTTTCCTTTCAACTAAGTTTTCGTTCGGAGGCGCATTATTTCCTCTAAACCTAAGCCGAGGGGCTACGAATTCGTATCCATTAGAAGTGGCTATTTCCCGCGCCAGTTTCACGGATTCTACTCTCTGCTCCTCCCCGGTACATACATTGGCTGCTGTTCGAAACATGTTTTTTACTAGCGCCTTCTTCGTATGTGAGGGGTGAGAAGAGAGATAGTGAACCAAGATATTCTTACTACTTGGCTTTCGGTACCACTTCGTTATGTAGCCGCTCTCAGTTAAGCTTATTTGCACGTTCAAGAATGGAAGCCAATCGTCTTTTGGTATCTCACGGGTGAATCTTATATACTCTGACTGTTCATTCAGCAATCTAAAACAATCATCCAGCTCCTCATGAGTGGAACAGATAATCAAACAATCATCTATATACCTACAGTAGAGTAATGGCCGGAGATCCATCACTGGTGCTTCCACTTTAGACATAAAGGCAATGGCCAGGCTAGGTGCCAGTCGCTGTCCCATTGCCAGCCCTCTGGTTTGAGCATAATAATTCCCGGACCATCTGAAGATTGAGCAGTTCAAGCACTCTTTTAGTAGGATCATGAACTGCTCAATCGTCAAGCCATACATGTTTACAGCTCCCTGGTGTTGTATAAGAAGCTCATGTGTGGCTTGCAATGCGGAGTCATTCGACACGTTGGTATATAAAGCAGTAACGTCGAATGACTCTATTACGTACGCGTTGTTCTGGTTCGCGTTACGTAGACGATCCAGGAACATCTGAGTGTTTGTCAGATGGGCTGGAATTCCTAGCAACTGGGATGTTATTAAAGTCAAGAACCATGCTATCCTATCCGTCGGTCCGCCTACACAACTGATGATAGGTCTAACTTTGAATATAGATGGATCGTTAGACATCAGATCATCAGTGGATACTAACTTATGTGTTTTTATAAGCAAGTATAAGACAGGACATGTTGGTGACTGGATTTTTAATTGAGAAATGATAGATGGTCTTAAGCCTGCAGCTTTTGCCGTACGGACCCACTCACTGTTTAATTTGCGGTTTTGCCTTTTGAATTCCTTTACAGAAGATGATCGGTAAAGCGAGGCATCCTCGAGATGCTTGCTCGTTATTGCGATATCTAACTGTCGAGGAATCACAACAAATTCTCCACCCTTATCACTAACTGATAGCCTTATCCTACCTTTGCTTATCAACTCTCGAACCTCTTTCATGCCACGTTTTTGTAGTTCGGTGAGGTTCGATTGATATCTTCTCCTGCTATAGTGAGTGAGGGTTCTAAAAGTTTCGTCCGCAAATTTCCGGAATTTTCTATCTACCTCCTCGTTGGGGTCTTGTTGTCTATAGAACGGCTGAGGAAATGGTGGTATTAGTGCCTCTACTTGCTGTTCATTCCTATTAGTCTCTTCAGTCTCAGTCTACAGTTCTTAGAATAAATCGATGTTTTCAAACGAGATTTCTGAATAGTCGATTGCGAAACATTATTTATAAGAACAATTCTATTCAAATGAACATTGCCAAGTGGGGTTTTCCATTCGGGCGGTACACAACCGATGAAGAGTCGACTTGAACGGCAACGAAGACGAATAATTGTGGACGACTGACTTGAATCATTGGCTCTGAAGAAACGAAGACGTCGAAATATCAGCCGAAGAAAGTTCATTTTTCGACCACGTGGTGTTAGGTAACTCATGAAAAAAGTGTTATTAAATGGTAATGACGAGGAGAGCCTTTTTTCGAAGTACTTAATAGTTTAATTTACTATCATTCACTATTTATATTCATGATTTTTCACCAAGAGCGCATGAGGCGCACTGGTTAGAGGTGCTCTGCGTCGCACACGAGATCAATGGTTCGATCTCGCGCTCATGGCCCACAAAGCCATCCATCCCTCCGGGGTCGGTAAATTGGTACCAAGCAGGTTTCAGACTTGTCTGGGAGGATAAGCAGCACTGACTCGGTTCAGCGGGAGGCCACCGCGAGTCTTTGTAAAGGCCAGATATGCATTCAATCACCTCAAACGAAGTTAAAAATTGAAGTCGAATGCATGGCGCATCCCTCAGAGATTGATCAACGCCAAGAGCTTTATACTTTTTTATATCATTTACTACAAAAACTATGAAATTTCGTAGCAGCGAGCACTAGGACCTTCACTGTCAGCGGGTTCAGCAACTTACCTATTAACATGGTTTACACAGGAATGAGCGGCGTCCCTACTTAAAACCCTAGCATCGCAACTACCAAGGGTGCCGCTCAGGTATTTGTGCAACGTTTTGTAATGTAAACAATGAGTTTACAACTTAGGCATCTGTTCAATCTCGTGAACTCTGAAAAGACGTAGAAGATGAGCCGTATTTTTGAAAAACCTTCAGTCTTCTGGAGCTTACCTTACTTGCAGAGCTTCATATATGCTGAATGAAACACTTCCAATCCACTCTTCGAATAGTGAAGAAAATTTATTTTTTAGGTCTTCGATATTTTCGAAAGTCGAGGTCGGAGAGCACTCTTACCTGATTTTGTGATCTCCAACATTCTGGGTCAACTTCAAATTAATACCACTTACGAACCACTGCTAGTCAGAGAGTAAAGAAACAGGGGGGAAGGGTATGTCTTCAATAGTGGACTTTCGTTTTTTTTTTTTTGTTTTTCCAGTACATTCCAATCCGAACTATTAGGGGCATTCAGAAAGCAGAGCTATAATTTACCCAATAATGTAGAGTGGCGTGCAAAAACGTCTGTATCAGCTGGGATTCGAACCCAGATCGCACTCTTTCCGGGAGCGTGTGCTGAACCTCTGCACTACCGGCACATCTTTTGCACAGCACTCTTTCTACGCTACAACGCGGCTGCCCCGTCAGACCGTCGACGCTTGGTTGTTGACAGATAACGACCTCTATGAACAACGTTATACATTAACGAAAGCCGCTCAAACCTTGAGAGTTCCTGAGATGGACAAGTGTGTACCGTTGATGGTGTCGCAAACGTAACCTTCACACAATTCATAACCTGTCGCCCTCCTCCTTGCATTTGGCATATTTCCATCACCGTGCTACTGACGATCGTACTCTTCATCGCACCCTCTGCAAGAAGCTATAAGTTCTGGGGAACACCTTATTCTAACACTTTAGACAACTGAAAAGTCAAAACAATGTTGAACGCTAATTTTCCATTATTCCTCAAAACTACAAACCTTTACCCATTAACACGCCTATTGTAGTTGGGTAAGTGAGTTTATTGTAATTGAAACAAAAATTCGCAAAATAAATGTGGCATATGGCAAAATCTCGTGAACAGAGCGGTTCGAATGTTGGCATCGGGTCCGTTTGGCTTGCACTTCTTCACGGCAACGGCCAATGTCGGCTGAAATTGACAGTGAACTGTGATGTAGTTAAGACAAACATTTTTATCTAATCGATGTTGATTGTGGTATTACAATATCAATAAACTAGCAACAATATGGGTGTTGAACAATCAGAGTGAAACAGGAAGTTATATTGAATTACACAACGTGATGAATTCGTGCTTACTACTTTACTTGAAAAGTAACTGAGAAGCTCCCACATATATTATACACACTGAATTTCTGCTGCAAAATAAATCATATTATAAGGTTTAGAATGCCAGCTGGAATTGATTTAACACAGCTTCGCTCTGAAATTTCAGCTACCAATGCTTGCTTATAGATGTCACTCGTATCCACAATGGAAGTTGGTGAGTATATACAAAAATGAAGACATTTGATCTTGTAAACTGGCGATTTGCATGAAGAACTGCCGCTTATTTTATGAAAAATTCTCGAAATGATGAACAAGAACCTAGTCGTTCAAAAGATTCTAAACGCTTCCTTGCGAGAGATTCAATTGTTTTATAACATTTGATCTAATAAAGTGTCAAAGATCTGCAAAACGAAAACCACCGATAAAATCTGAGTGCTTGTTCCAATGAATTTGAGGGATAATTGACATGGGTAAGCTATTTCAGCACTCTTGGGAGATGTGACCTTCAAAAGATTAACTTTGAAATTGCCGGAGAAGGCAGTAATGACTTTATGATCAATTTTATGATCTCTCATTTCAACACATAAGTCGTTCCTTACATATTTCAGAACTAGCCGATTTTCTATCGAGCACAGATGATGTGGCAAGCGATGACTAGGGGAGGTGTCACATGAACTACTAACTTCAGATTCAGAAAAACCTATTGGACGATTCCATTATGCAGAAGTTGATCACTGTACTGTTGAGAAACACTAGCCAGTCGTTCTTGGCTTTTCCACCGGTACACAAAATGGACTGGATTCTGAATTTGCTTGCATATTCCTGGATTCTGTTCGATAACTTAACGAACACTCACATTGCATGATGAGTGGAAATTCCACCCGTGGATCATCGCATCGAATGATGCTATGATGCGACACTAAAAACAGAGATGCCAAGATTTCAACTAAATTAAAATGTCAGTAGCCTCATGTCAACATAAAAATGCAAGAAAATGGTTGATACTATGCCGAGGTCAGATCTAAGCAGGCTCTTCTGGATATATTGGGATTTCCCATGATTTCTTTCTCATTTCGGCACTTTTGTTCAATCAGTTGTTACTTATTCGAAGAAATCAATCAATTGACACCTTAATCACTATCATGATCAATAATACAGGCTTCTGGGTATAGATTGAATGCCATTCTTCCAGGAAGAATGAGTATGGCGTGCAAGGAAATTGATGAGGTCACTTTTGATTTGGCCGTGGTTTGAATTTTTGTCCCGCAAGCTGCTTCAGAACTTGGAAAAGATGCTAATCCAATGAAGCAATATCATGGCTCTTACTTTGATTGTAGTACCGTGGTCCAGCTCAGCTCATCAAAAGATGGTCTGGCGACTTTGCATTGTGATATACCCACTGATGTAGAGCGATATGCAAAACTTTCACGTTAGCCTGGACTAGAACAAGCACCTCCTTCTTTCCGGGAATGCGTGCTCTATCCGTTACACTACTAACTCCCATTTTACGACGACTACCCGGGCCAGGCCGTTGACGGCTGGCGGCTGACAGATAGATGCGCTGTAGCGTAGAAAGAGCGATGTGTAAAATGGGCATCAGTAGTGTAAGGGATAAAGCACGCATTCCCAGTGAGGTGCGGGTTTTAGGCCCGCCTGACGCGTAAGTTTTGCACACCTCTCTACATCAGTGGGTATCTATTTGTCACATCATAACACAGCTAGAAGCGTTTAAAATAAAAAGAACTTTACTGTGAGATAGTCGGTCAATGTACAGTTAGCACAAAAAGATGTCGCGATGGGACACTTCCAACATATCCAACATATCACAGTCTTTTGGCATTTCTGACTCATGCATGTGGTCTTTTTTGGATACTTATACATTGCAATATACGTGTTTCCGCCTTGCAGCCTCGTCAGTTGCACGGTTCCGTCGTTTGGGGCAATCCCTCTCAAACGAGAACCCGCTTTACGTATAGATATCGCAGGCCTAACAATTACACGCGCCGTTGAGTGATAAAAAGCGCCAAACGGGCATTGTTGTACACTCGGCTCTTGGCTGGTAATTGTGAAATCTCATAACATTCGTTTCGAGTGTTTCTTTGGATCCCGCTCAGATTCAATATGCCTGACAATCTTTTTTTGAGCCATGCATGCGGTCTGTTATGGACAGTGATACAATGCAATACACGTGTTTCGGCCTACCAGCCTCGTCAGTTGCACGGCGAATTTTCGTTAGTCTGTTTCTCAGGTATCTACCCCTTATATATACGAAGATCGATCACATCGTTCTAAACATAAAATGAAATCAACCAAATGTCAGTATCGTTCTATACCTTTGAATCTGACCACGACATTCTCCGTATGCATATTCCATTCAGGTAGAAAATGATCAAGAAACTGTCATAAAGTGTAATGAGCACCCCGCATGAAAGGAATCTGTTTTCAATTAACCAATATCATACTATGGCTGACACAAAATCGAAGATCCGATGCAAGACCGCGGGAATACTGCTTAGGTTTCTAATGCTGTTACGTGTGAGATTTTCTTAGTTTCAAGATAAATCCTGTAAATTGATCAGGCAAGACCAAAAACACTCAGAAATACGACCTTTGCGAGAAATTATGCTGCGCTAAATTTCTTTTGCTGTACTCATAAGATAAATGGTTTCTAACACCAGTTGTGGGAACGGGAGGGCAGCCAATATCGATATGAAGAGATAAGGAGTTTATAGCAACACGAAGGGGGAAAACACAGATGTCTTCGGAATTTTATAGGCACTTATTGCATGTCAAGGACTAATGATTGTCATTTTAGAACCCTACATGGAAATCAGAAATACGGATTCCTTACAAAAGTCTTTCATTCCACGGAAACTAAAGCAGACATCAGCATTCCTCAGAGTAACCAAACGCGGGACGCAAAATTGACGATCCCTACATATAATTGCTGGACAACGAGAGCAGTGAAAGTGTCAAACACCACACAGATACGAGTACGGTCCATCCAGGCAGAATCCGTGTTTTGAAACTACACAGAAGATTCTTGATTTTCTTCTTTGAGCAGAACACGAGGTGTTACATTAAACTTTATTCGATGGCTGACGTTTCGGCAGTTCGCCTTCTTCAGAGCCTGGAAAGGTCAAAATGTTTGCAATACAATCAGTCAAACACCTCCATTACTTCTTTAGAGAAAATCACCAGACCTAGATTTCAATCGCATCAAGCAAAAATCAACACTCAACATACTCACCGCTTTTTATATGTGTTCCACTGGATGATCCAAGTGGAGATCACCGGCAAGAGAGACACATAGGCTCGTAATGCACCCTACCCATCAAAACAACAGTCTTATATACTGGCTCATATCACGAGTGTTTACAAGGCATTCCTCCCTGCGGTTTATGGTTGGATTGGTCGTATTAATCCAAAATGCTTCCAAGATCTTTCGCGCTGATGTTTTCTGCTCCTGCGCAAGGATGGTGACTTCGATTTCAAAATCAACTCCGTCGTGCTTCTGTGCTCTATGCGTCCCTAGCGGGGTGTTTTGTCTATTAAGACGCTTGTCAGCTAGGTGTTCTTCTATGCGTGCATAGAGCGGCCTACCCGTTTCGCCAACGTATTTATCACTACACGCCTTGCAAGAGATTAGGTAGACTGTACCTACGCTCATGCAATCACCGTCTCTGCCGTTAGGACATATTTTACAATCTTTCATCATACAGAGACGGTCATATAAGCGGTTGCGAACTAGCTGGCGTTTTAGAGTATTCGGTGGTATTTCAATAATGGCAACCGATTGCTCTAAACCCGCTCTTTTCAAACATCGTTTTATAGCTGTACTAATCTCATTTGAATAGAACGGGATGATAAACGGGACTTTCCTTTCAACTAAGTTTTCGTTCGGAGGCGCATTATTTCCTCTAAACCTAAGCCGAGGGGCTACGAATTCGTATCCATTAGAAGTGGCTATTTCCCGCGCCAGTTTCACGGATTCTACTCTCTGCTCCTCCCCGGTACATACATTGGCTGCTGTTCGAAACATGTTTTTTACTAGCGCCTTCTTCGTATGTGAGGGATGAGAAGAGAGATAGTGAACCAAGATATTCTTACTACTTGGCTTTCGGTACCACTTCGTTATGTAGCCGCTCTCAGTTAAGCTTATTTGCACGTTCAAGAATGGAAGCCAATCGTCTTTTGGTATCTCACGGGTGAATCTTATATACTCTGACTGTTCATTCAGCAATCTAAAACAATCATCCAGCTCCTCATGAGTGGAACAGATAATCAAACAATCATCTATATACCTACAGTA